CCCGTGAAGAGAAGGCCTGATATCTGCAAGCATTGGAATCAGAACTTAGGCGCTATGCTCAGTAAGACAGCAGTGTACGTTCTTCTAGAGCCTTGAGAAATAGCACCTTGAGTGAAATGCACGCTGGGACTGGAACCGAGTGAAATCAGTTAACCAGAAAGATAAGAAACAGATCTACGAGACAATGAAGGGATCTAGATTATGGGCCCGTTGGGATTAGCCAATCGAAAGTGAAGTGGTCGTGGTGACTACCAGGTGTGATGAGGCCACACTAATTTGCCACAAAAGGGCACACGTTTTGACGAGTGGAATGTAGACAAGTGAAAATTTGTGATAAGGCGGGAGTTGGATAAGAGGGTAAAGAGTAGATAGATAGGCCAGGACAGAAAAAGGAGTGATAGTGTAACCGTTTTGGCAGAACGTGTGTAGAGGGATTGACTTCACTTGTTTTTTCTACGAGTTCTTAGCTTGGTGCGGTGAATTACAAAATTCACTGATAATGCCGGCGAAACGTTTTGAGAATGTACCAAGTCCATCCTCTGATGCTGGGAATCAGGACAACTACTATGGCTGACGACTTCGTACTAGGTGCGTTCTACTAAATCGCCTTGACAACAAGACAATGTTGCGACAGCGAAGTCAATCAACTTCTATAAATCGAATGAGACTGTAACCATGCCAGAGGCCACAATATCTTGGTCCTCATATCTTTGATTAAATCTATTCAATTCAACCTAGTCTACCAACGGACTGGTATAAGCCTGGTTATCTTTTTTTCTTTTCTTTTTTCCATGAGTCATTAAGCCTTGATGACCCAGGGCTGACATTAAGTTTTTTTTAATTACTTTAAGTTATGACTGGGTTCGCATACAGACGTTAGCATACATATACATACAGATATACTTTAGTATTCTCCAATTAACAAAATCTTTCTGTTTCCATCTATATCTCACATTTTGATCGCAATGTGTATATATATCATATACGAAATATGCCTGTTACTCTTATCGACTTAGCATTAATTTGAGGCTTTTGCAAGAATGAATCCCTGCTCTGATGATGTTCCTTACATGACGAACGAAAGCTTAGCTCGTCTTCGTTCGAAGCGTTAGAGGATGTCTGGTATACTGCATTATTCTGAATGCCCTATTAATGCCAAAGGGCTCAGTTCAATGCGTATTAGCTGACGTCTGCTGGTGAGATTAACCTACGAATTTATTCATTGTGTATTTTTGTACGAAACAAAAGGCTTCATAACAAATAAAAGACTTCAATACTCAATCTCGAATGTTTTTTCCTTACAGTCAAATCTATTAAATCTGTCACTGCTCCTCTATACGTTTTGGGTTATAATATTGTAGTATTTAAACTGACATCTAATGTAATATATTTTGATGCCAAAGATTATTTTTCACGTTTAGATTAGTAACCTCAGTTCGTAGACTTTCAATTCATTACTGAGTAATTATAGACGCGTAACAAGCTTTAGTCATTGGATCTGTTCTGGCTTTTTGCTGGATAACATGGATTAAGCTGAAAACACATGAAAAATTAATCACGCTAGGAAGAAAGTTTGACCGCAATATAGGATGGTTAGAGTTAATGTGCAGGAAACCATAGTATGAGTTTGTTATACTCATAAGGGCTTTAATGAATCTGTGGGCCATCGTGACAAAGGATATAATTATTTCATAAACTGATACTAGTCTGAACTAAGCTAATAAGGTTACGAGGAGACATGTCAATATATTTATGGTGTATGGCTCAATCTTTATGTTTTTAATCTATATTAGGATAAATAAATGCAGAAGCAGGATTCATATGTCTATATGTATGTAGACCAGTTAATCAAATTGAGCGCCTAAGCCATAAATATGAATGCGCTATAGAGTT